ATCATTTACGTCCGGGAAAAAGATCACGCCCAAATTTCTCCTGTAGTATTAACAGGTTTCTTTTCTGTGCTTCTAGCGCCTCATTTTTATTGTCCTTGTGGCCCCTCCGTTCCCCAATGGTTTTTTCCCTTTTGCAATAAATGGAAAAGATCACTAAGATTTTGGGGTGACGTTGGTTAATGTTTCATAGTGACTAGAAGTATGTGGTCGAGTATGATGGTGAGAATGTGTGATCGCGTTGGTGCATTAATTAACTGAACCAATTATTTAATCCCAGAAATTGTTTTTCATGTTTCTAACCCGTTTTGATAAAAGATATGAACTCTTCCCGTTTATTGTCTCGCATTGGTCATTTTGCAAACTCGAAAGTTTTCCCCAAGAATGGGGGGGGGGATGGGGGGTTTTTTGCTCCACTAGGAAAATTTGGGTTGTATGTTTCCCCCAAATTTGCTATTTTTTTTGTTTAAAGCTAAAAGCATTAACATAACATTAATGCCATAAATTATTATTATTATAATCAAGGGGGAAGCGCTAAACCCGGAGGATTATACAGCGCCTGGGGGGGGGATGTGGAAGGCATTCAGGCTTAATTCGGGGAACTGGAGCACAGATCCAATTCCCTAAATCAAGAGCCCCTCACCAACATCAAGGAACCTTCCTTGAGGGGATTAATGCCATAAAGCATTAACATAACCAAATAAATGATGAAACTACAAAAAAAGATGTTTGACATAACGTTGATGTAATTCTCTCATGTGTCACATTCATTTTTCACATGTTATTTCTGTATTATCCAGTTTTGTAGATTTCGTTGTTCCTCTTTATATTAAAAAAAACTGGTTCTTGCTCATTTGTGAAGATCTATAATATGTTATGAATTGGTGTGTCTTGCCTCAGTCTACTCTCCTGGACTTTTGAAGTTATATTTTGCCTTCTGTGTCTGTGTACAGGATGGATGCAATGACTTTTTTTTTTCGATCTGTTAGTCTGTTCCCTGCTTTCTCAGAGCTTTGACTTGTTTTTCTACTTGTCAACAGTTTTCTCTAATCAGTTTTGCCTTTTTCAGTGCTTTCTTATTCTTGTTTCACGTCTTCATAGTATTGACTATGTGTGTATATATATATATAATATATATTATATAATATATATATAATTTTTTATATATTTATATTTATATTTTATAATATAAAACATACATCCCTACATATATTTATATATATATATTATATATTTATAATAAAATATATATATATTTATTTTATATATAATATTATATATTATAAAATATTTATTTATAGGTGTGTGTGTGTGTTGTAGTGTGGATTAATAAAATTTTCCGGGTTTTAGAAAACTAACTACGTTCTTATTTTTCGGTTACAGAGTGATAAAGGGGATGGTGGTTTCCCAAGGCAAATGCAGGTGCTAGTGTTTAAGGCTGGTGTGGTGACAGTGTTTGTGCTGCTGCTTTTGCCCAAAGGTCCTTACCTGCTGCCACGTTGCTTTACCAAAATTTATCATCTTTATTGCCATTACCACCACCTCAAGCACCATCAATTAAAACCCATTACCACCAAAAAAAGATTAAGGAAACCCCCCAGTCTTTGAAAAAAAGCTGCTACAAGAAACCCCCCAAAACCCTTTCCATTTCCCGAGGAACATATGTTCCCAAAATTTAGCTAACTTCAGTGGTTCTGTCAGTGTGACCCACAAGTTATTAAGAGGCCAACAATAACCTGTTTGAAAAAGGAGAGGTGAGAAACCCTGGATGGTGTAGGGTAGGTTAACCCCCTTTATTAAGGGGAAATTTGAGTATGGGGAAATGTACCACACTGAACCCCAATTAAAAAAAAAATTCAGGTGAAACCGGGTTTCTTTTCCAATTTATAAAGCCGTTTTCAGGTTTGTGTGGAGAGTGAAGGGAAATTTTGAACTTCCCAGAAGAAATCTTATCATCAAAGAAAGTGACCCTAATCAGATTTAGATTTGGGTTTTTCAGTAATAGCCCCAACCTAGCTTTTAAATTTCAACTTTGGATAATTCAAGTCTCCTAATGTGTTGCAAAATTTGTTTCTCCCAACCCTCATAAAATGACTTCATGCATTTAGTTATTCTTTCACGTAAAAATCTTTCTCCAAAACCCTTATATTTTTCCCCCTTTTGGGCTTATTCTCTGCGTGACTGCGGGTAAACTTTTGACTAAGACCCGCTTTAGGAAAAAACTTGTCCTGTTTTTAACAAACCCTTTCCTACCCCTTTCAGTGGAAAAAAATCAAATCCCCGGTCGACAAAAATTTTTTCCAAAAAAATGCAAAAACCATTTTTATGTTTTCGTACTGTTGGTTTAATTAGTTTACGTTTTATTTTTGGCACCAACTTTTACCAAAACTTTTCGACACTACCTGGAAAGGCATGAAATATATAGGGCAGCAGTGATGAAGCAATAGTTAAGAGTGTTTTTTGGTGGCTGTAACAATATTTGTGTTGATGAGAAAACCAGGAATATAGATGCACGCATTGTTAGTTTAATTTATTACGCACTCACTACCCATGGCGTGGGTGGTAGTCAACAAATTACAAAGGTACATAATGGGTCCAGGGACTGGGCCGCGAAATTTTGATAACTAAACAAGTTACAGTGGTAGGGAACTGTTTACACGTTTATATCTGGTTATAGCCAATACACAGAAAAACCACTCAGGACTACAATCGTCCCCTTGATGGGTCGAGTAGGGAGAGCTTGCACACATCTCGCAGCTATAATAACAGACACCAACTCTCTGTACGCAGTAAAAACCACAAACTTCAAGAAATAATGAGGATTACACAATTTTACAAAATAATATTCAACATTTCTTTAATAACCGCTGTCTCCTTGGGTAACACCGGAACCCTTTCGTGTCTAATAAGGACAAAACCACCCCAGTTTATGGAGACTCCCCTTGTAACTTACTAACTTTTACATTTAACCATGTAACATGTAAAACCTGCTACGCCAGGACGCCACCTCTGAAGCAACTGAACCAGACAGTATCTCCGAGTAAACCTTTATCAGTCGCCTTGCTATTATTTCCAGGCTACTTCCTGCAGTCGCAAAAAAAGGCAAATAGTATATCCCTTGCCAACTCAGCGTCATGCAGTTACATATTGTTATACACGTGTGAAGCTGATGGGTAAGTGTTATACCCGATTCAATGAAATTTATTTCATTAATGACACTACACACACACACACACACACACACACACACACACACACACACACAGGAGCTAGGACTCGACCCCTGCAACCACAAATAGGTGAGTACACACACACACACACACACACACACACGGCGGGCTAAGTCTCGACCCTTGCAACCACAACTGGGTGACTACATGTATTAAAATGCACCATAGTGGTTGAGCTACTTTTATTATCCCCCCTCCACTCCCCCTACCCACCCTTTGCCCATATTTCCATTTTTACCCATTCTTCTTCCTTCCCCACCCAGGGGCGTCATTAGGATGGGGGTCGCCCCGAGTGACACCAACCCTAGCGACGCCTCTGTCCCCACCTTACCAAAACTCGGGTCATACAAGTCAAGGTTAATGATCCTAGCTATAGGAATTCACTACCAAAATCACCGCTGCAAATTAAATAAAAAAATAAATGAAAAACATTTATTAGGTGAAAACAACGAAAAATCATTTCTCAATAAAACTTTGGTCTATAAAGATATTTTAAATTGCAAGGTTTTAATTACAGTGTCATAGAACATTATGTTAAATCTCATTAGGCTTTCTTATGAATTATTCTTTGGTTAAACACCCAAGACAAAACCTGAGCTGAAATATATTAAAATATATGAGAAGGGAACAGCAAAGCTGAGAAGATGGCCTGTGGAAAATTGCATTTATCTGAATGTATCATTATATACATAACAGTAAATGAACATAGATAATTATTATTTATCAGTTAGACAAGTAGGAATTTGGGACACCTAGGTCGCAAAAAATGTCCCCCTTCGATACCTACCACTGTCATATCCACAAGTTGCTCTGGACCTATTACTCACCCAAAACCAAATAAATACTGAATAACTGAACCTTATAAATTGTATATCTTAAATGTTTCTCACAATTATATCACATAAATGTTAAACCTAAAACCCAATCTAACTTTATTATTTTTTAAATACATACCTAACAGAATAACTCCTTCTACTGAATTTACAACAATGCATGCAACCATATGACCCTTTTTTGTAATACTCACTTTGGTTTTAAGTAACTTTTTTATTAAGTTTTTCACTGATTTCATCTTTTGCTTAGTTTAATTTAAATTTAATTTAAGCCAGCCGTAATGCTATGCATAGTAAAAGTGGCTTTGGATGCTGTCTTACTGTATTTTTTTGTACCTTGATGGTGCTCAAATTATAAATAAAAAAATAAATAATTAAATAAATAAATGAAATATACATACACAGGAATGCTGGTAATTATATAAATTTGTGGACTGTATATTAAAATTAAAAAAAGGATTATAGTTATACACACATTTATTAACAGAAGGAGAATATGTATATCTTAATCATAACACTCCCCAATTTTGGGACTGGAGATTAAGTTGTATCATCTCAGAAAACCTCACTGCAAATACTGAAAATAACAACTGGCCAGAGTTATAACATAACAGACTTATTTGAGGTTCCTGGAGCTGTCTTGTCCAGTCGCCTGATTTCTCAAGTTATGCAGGACTGCACATCCAACAATTTCGCCTCCTATTTGAGAGGTGTCAGCCCAATTTTAACCTCTATAGCACGAAAAATTCTTCCCATTACACTAACGTTTACTTGGCTCATTCAAACCAAAATGGCGACTGTCCATCTTTTAAAAATACAAATACACTTTTATTAAATATAATATAGGGCATCTATTTACCTATAAATTACCGTATTTCCGGAAAATATACAGTATTTTCCACATGGCCAGTTGGAACTTTCTTCATTATTACAGAAACAATAAAATGAGTGATAAAAACAGCGGAAGTATCGTTGCTAGTTCTACTACAACTGTTGGTGCTAGCAATACTACTGAAGGTGGCGAGGTAGCTGCCACGGGCGAACACTGGGCAATATTTGGCGACTCTCACATGCGTTACCTCTTTACTGCATTCCTCACACGACTCAGGAGCCCCACCCTTCAATATCGACTAAAAACAGATACGGTGAGTAATTATCACACCATTGCTGGAGGTATTGTGAATTAGTTATTTCATCACGATGTGACAGCAGGTAGACAGGATACCAAGTGTTGACACAGGATTTATGAAAGCAGGTAGACAGGATTCCAAGTGTTGACACAGGATTTATGAAAGCAGGTAGACAGGATTCCAAGTGTTGACAGGATTTATGACAGCAGGTAGACAGGATTCCAAGTGTTGACAGGATTTATGAAAGCAGGTAGACAGGATTCCAAGTGTTGACAGGATTTATGACAGCAGGTAGACAGGATTCCAAGTGTTGACACAGGATTTATGACAGCAGGTAGACAGGATTCCAAGTGTTGACAGGATTTATGACAGCAGGTAGACAGGATTCCAAGTGTTGACACAGGATTTATGACAGCAGGTAGACAGGATTCCAAGTGTTGACAGGATTTATGACAGCAGGTAGACAGGATTCCAAGTGTTGACACAGGATTTATGACAGCAGGTAGACAGGATTCCAAGTGTTGACACAGGATTTATGACAGCAGGTAGACAGGATTCCAATGTTTTACACAAGTTTATGACAGCAGTAGACAGTTCAAGTGTTTGACACAGATTTATGACAGCGGTAGCCAAAGGGTTCCAAGTGTTGACAGGATTTATGACAGCAGGTAGACAGGATTCCAAGTGTTGACACAGGATTTACGACAGCAGGTAGACAGAATTCCAAGTGTTGACACAGGATTTATGTGATAAAGGAATGAAAACTAGACTATCTGAATGCCTGTTTTCATATACACTTGGTGCGTCTATGTTATCTGTTAGTGCATCAAAAGGTATGTATGTCTGCATTTAGGTATGTATCTCTGCATATACATTATTGAATTTACTGCTCTTATGATGTCATAATTCGTTAAATTTTGTATATAAAAATCTAGGCTAACCTATCCAAACCTAGCCTAAATGATGTGTATTGGGAAATTTGCTTAAATTCATAGGTGAGAAATTGACGATTGCTTGAGGACAATGAGTTGTATACCTATAATAAATGATTGTCTATTCTAAATATATACTGACTAATATTATGGCAGCTAGAGTGTATAAAGTTTCGGGCAATAATATGACTTTTTTTTTCCCCATAGAAAAAGTGGGTAAGTATAGCCCCGCTAGAGAAGAAAATGTACAGGAACAAAATATGGGAAAAAATTGAAGCTCGTGACCTGAGCATCAACTTTCACATGACTTTCTACTGGGACATATGGCTGATGGAGCTGCCAAAAATGTTGTCCAAGTGGGAGAAGAATCCGCAACTCACTCCAACACTCGTCATCTTGGGTCAGTTAATTAGTTTAATATCTTTGTTATGCACCACATACCCATCCTGTGGGAGACAGTCTAAAGATTACAGAGGCACATAATGGGTCCAGGGACTGGAGTCAGTACTCGGAATATTATAAGTTTAACTTTTCACCAAACTGTGTATATATGGCTAATGGCAGGGCTATTCAGTTTCTTAGGTGTTTTCCACCACTTCTATTGATGTGTTTTACACATTCTTTTGGGCTAATTTCTGATCCTTACTAAGCAGGCTATAACAATTACATTTTTTTGAGATTATGGTTACGAAGTCATGGCCAAAAGGTCCCAACAGCTGCTGCGCTACACTGGATGGTGAGGACACAATCCATTTACCAGAGCCAAGGTACTGAGGCAGCTGCTAATGAGTACAGAAAACATTTCAGAAGCATGAAGGCCCAGCTCACCCGCCTCGCTGCAAGAACCACCGTCGTCTTCAAACTCTTCGACGACGTGAGGGTAATATGTTTCCTACTCTTACTCATCTACCTGAAGGATGGATGTCGTAGTTTCTGATGTTATTTCTGATAACGTCACTTATTATCTGCTTTAACTGATTTTGATTCTGTGTTGCTCTTTGAAAAGATGGATGAGCTGTGGCAAATGCTCTTGTTTATTGTCTTCTTTTAGAAATGTCTTGATTGCCAAATTTAGACGTTTGCAGCTGACCTACTTGATTTGATCTAGATTGCTAAGTTTAACTTTTTATTGCTAGTAACTATACACTATTGTATAAATAGTATCAGCCCTAAAATAAAAAAAAACTGCAATACAGTTATCATTTTCAGATAGCCAACAGGCCTAACAAGCAGATATCGGCGAACAATCGGAGTAACTACGGGTTGTACAACAAGGTGGTGGTTGAGGAGCTGGCAGGGACGGGAGTGATCATCTGGGACAGCACCCTGCCTCTCTCCCGTGCCTACAGCCTCTACTGTGACATCTACCCCAGGCACACTCCACCGTGGTACCAATGGAAGTGCGAGGATGTTGGCCATGTGGGGTACATCCTAGTGGACCAATATGCTGATATGATTTTTAATGATTACTGTAATAGATATTTAAAACTGGGGAAAGATTATTGTGCATAAAGTATTGAATATCAGCATTCGAATTGTTAAATATAATCTTTATGCGACAACGTATAAAAAATAAGGGTTACATAACAGTGTTCAAGGTCGTAAATAAATGGTTCAGAGAACCGACAAGTTAATGAATTAGATACATGTGCAATATTTGTGTATCTTTACTGAGGACACGTTTCGCCACACAGTGGCTTCTTCATCCCGGAGCCCGGCCAAAGGCCAGGCTCGTCTGGTTTCGTATTATGTGCAGTCAGTTAGCATTAGCTCAGCAGTTATCTTGCTACTCTTTTATGACATCCGGCCATGATAGGGTTTTTTTCCCCTG